TTTTTTTTACTTTTTTTTCAGGCCGAGTGGCATCTTGTTGCCGCTCCCTCCCGCAAACCAACGTTTCTGTTTCTGTCCTTTTTCCACACTCACGGACCATCTTCGTTCCTCCTGCCCCCTTCCCCATACTTCTGCGAAACCTCTTTTTTTTTTTTTCTTTTTTCTTCTTCTCTCTCCTTTGCATTCCATCTCCCGTCCCAACTGAGTCGACAACAACTTCGGATTGCCTTAGACAAGTGACTCCCCTCGACTTTGTCGGCGCCACCGCCAAGTGCTCTTTTCGGTCGCTCCTTTTCCCTTCCGGTCCGTTCTACCTTCATTGGTCGTGCGATCGGCTAAAGGGTGATTGATCTCCGGACGCTGGTGCCAGCGACCCTACCTTTTCCCGGGATCGCCATCGGTTCGAGATACCGACAACGTTCGTCTTGGAACGATATCCCTACTGCAGGTCCTCTTCACGTCTCGCTATTGCTTAGATCGCAAAGATGCTTCTTCCCAAGGGTGGTGTAACGTGGAAGTCGGCGAAGGCGAGGCTGCCTCCATGGAGGGCCATTCTGGTCCTGGTGACGCGGACTCGTTTCCTGGTGTCATTGGCCCTCACCGGCTTGTTGATCTTGCTGTGGCGTGGTATCAGCAAGTCCGCTTCGGAGATGCAAAAGTAAGTGCTCGACTCACTTTCAACCGGGCTTGGGCGCGACGCGCGGCGTGAACCAACCCCTGCACATGATGCACATCCTAACTCGACGGTCCAGTTTCTACTGTTACGGGCCTTCCAAGTCGCCAATGGACATGAGTCTCAACGAAATTTCCGAGTGGAATGCCCATATGCAAACCCCAGTCGTCTATAACCATCACGAAGCTTACGAAGTCAACTCCTCTACCATTCACAACATCAACCTCAACCCCATTGGCTCGAGTGCTCAAGCTGTCGCAAACGCCGAACGAGTGCTCATCCTGACGCCGCTGAGAGATGCTGCCCCATATTTGCAAAAGTACTTCGAGCTTCTCTATAAGCTGACCTATCCTCATCACCTCATTGACCTGGCTTTCCTCGTCGGCGATTCCATGGATGACACCGAAAGCGTCCTCGTCTCTGAGTTGAACCGGATCCAGGAACAAGGTGATAAGATTGCGTTCCGCAGTGCGAGCATTGTTAAGAAGGACTTTGGGGCCGATGTAAACATGAACGTTGAGGATCGGCACTCGTTCGCCGCCCAGGGCCCGCGCCGTAAGGCTATTGGCCGGGCACGCAACTATCTGCTCTACTCCGCCCTGAAGCCTGATCACTCCTGGGTTTACTGGAGAGATGTGGATATTGTCGACAGCCCCGAGACTATCCTTCAGGACTTCATGGCCCATGACCGAGATATCCTCGTTCCAAGTAAGTGGACTGCCACGGTGGTTCTATAGCAAAGGCTGACCTCTCTGCAGATATCTGGTTCCACAGATATAAGGACGGTGTTGATGTCGAGGGTCGCTGTAAGTGGAGATAACGCCTGCCGACGATGGTCAATGCTAACCCACCTTTCCAGTTGACTATAACTCGTGGATTGAGTCGGACAAGGGACGCCGGCTGCGACAAACCCTCGATCCGGACACCGTGCTGGCTGAGGGCTACAAGGAATATGATACGGGCCGCCAATATCTTGTTTCCATGGGTGACTGGAGGAATAACAAGGACGAAGAGGTCGAGCTGGACGGGATTGGTGGTGTCAACATTCTCGTCAAGGCCGACGTCCATCGTACAGGTATGTTGTGCACGGCCTTTGGCATGATTGTCCGGAGAGCTGCTCCTAACTAAGAACCCTAGGAATCAATTTCCCTGCATATGCCTTCGAGAACCAGGCCGAAACCGAGGGATTTGCGCGCATGGCGAAGCGAGCGGGATACCAGGTGTACGGCTTGCCGAATTACGTTGTGTGGCATATCGACACCGATGAAAAACCCGGCAATCTTGGAGACCGTAAAGCGTACTAAGCGCGTGGCCGGACTTGGTCCTTTTCTCACCGAGCCGGCGGCGTTCGGTTCTTTATTTTCTCCAAGACTTTAATACCCTTTTCCCCGTTGGTGTCCGTGGTTCACAACATGGGATTCTTTTCCTTCTCGTTACTTGTGCTTTTTGCCTTTACCATTCCCCCCCACTTGGACGTTTGAAACGGACATCTCATGGTTCCGGTAATTAGTCTTCTTCATGTCGCGTTCTAGGGATCGTGCTGTTTCTTTTCTATTTTTTGGCGCTATGGGGAACGTGTTCAGCGGTGTCGACGCTCATAGAGTGAACGGGTGATTTTACGCTTGTATTCCTGGTGTTGCCTTGTTCTCCTTGACGACTGTGCAAACAAGCCTACTGCCGCGGCAGGGTTTCCTACGATTGTGACGGGGGTTTCCAGTCTGCCATGGCTGGTGCTCGCACTGGGTGGCTGTTATCCGCATGATCGACATCCATGAGGGACACAGCTCAGTTCGGACTGAGCCATGTCTTGCAAAAAGGGAGCGAGGCGGTTGCCGTCGGCGAGCCAAGAACCAGGGCATAACGGTGCCTGGCGTCCATGTACATACATATATAGGCTACAATTTGTTGGGCTGTTATGATTGAGAGAGGTTAATTGATCCGTAATTCGAAAATGCAACCACGCGTGATGCAAAAAGAAGTCAAGACAGTATGAATATTCTGAGATGATAAAAAAACATAACCAACCAACATGGATCCCACCATTTCTATTTTTCCCCGCAAGACAATCCGGATAATCCCCACTTTCGACCTCCATAAATACTACTACCTCCCTCCCACCAAGTAAGACATCAGCTCTAAATCCACCGATCCGAGACATCCCGCCACACAAACAGAAACAAAAAAATACAAAAAATGTCCACCAAAAAGGAATTCATCTGCCTCGTCCCAGACAAGCCAGACGCGCTGCAGAAGCGTCTCGACGTCCGCGGGTATGTACCACACTATACTCCGCGCAACCCCCCACCATGGAACCCCCACTAACAGTGCCATTCACACATACAGTCAACACCTCGAAGGCGTAAGGCCTCTTGTCGCGAACGGCACAGTCGTCTGTGGTGGTATGTCTCGTGTGCCTTTTTTAATCATCCCCCTTGGTAGACACTTGGACGTGAGAACTGACGAAGTGTTTGACAGGTGGAACGGTCGATTCGCACCCCGGGCCCGGCGAGACCCCTTCCTTTAACGGGAGCGCTTTGATCGTTCTCGCTGAGAGTGAGGCCGAGGTGAGGGAGTTGATCGCTAAGGATATCTATGCCCGGAGTGGTGTCTGGGACGTTGAGAAGGCGCAGGTTATTCCGGTATGTTGTTGATTTTTCTTTTTCTTTTTTTTTTTGCTCGTTGAGTTGTGGTGGTTGTGGTTCTTAAGTTTGGGATACTGGGGCTGGAGTTACTATTGTCTTTGGGTTTGGGTTTGGGCTGATCTTGGTTGGTGTAGTTTATGTGTGCCGTTCGGGTTGGGAATAAGGCTCTTCCTTAGGTCTTGGATTAAGTTGGGTTTATGAGAGGGGTGGGTGCTACGATTGTATATGTGGAGGTGGGTACTTGTCCAATACGAATGTGTGTATTGTCTGTTGTACATATATATATATATATGAATATATGAATATATGAGTGGATGGAAGATCCGATTTACAGCTTCGCCTTGGGCGTCAGCATCGCCTCTGCGACCTTGCGGCGCTGGATTTTGCCCGTCGCGGTCTTGGGGATCTGGGGAACGATCCAGACCTGGGGGATAGCGTGTTAGTCAATGTGAGGTCTGTGGGGATGTGTTGGACAGGTAGTACATACCCTCTTGGGAGTCTTGAATTTCGCCAGCTTCTCTGCCATGAACGACTTGAGCTCGTCCTCCGTGGCTGTGTTGTTGCCCTTTAGGACCACCGCGGCACCGATGTCCTCGCCATAGTGTCCCTCGTCTGGGATGGCGAAGCACACGGCCTCGGCCACCTTGGGGTGGTGCAGGAGCGTGTTGTCCAGCTCGATGGGACTGATCTTCTCTCCGCCCTTGTTGATGAGCTCTTTGATACGGCCGGTGATGATCACGTAGCCGTCCGGATCCTTCTTACCCTGGTCTCCCGTGCGGAAGAACCCGTCCTTGGTGAACGAGGATTTGTTGGCGGACGGGTTGTTCAAATACCCCTTGGTGACGTTCTCACCGCGCACGCAAATCTCGGCCTCCTTGCCCTGCGGAACCTCGTTGCCGTCCTGATCGAGGATCTTGACTTCCACGCCCTGTCCAATGCCGACGCTGCCGGGCTGGCGCTTTCCGGGTGGCAGAGGGTTGCTGGTCATCTGGTGAGCGGCTTCTGTCATGGCGTATGCCTCCAGGACGGGCGCGTTGAACGTCTTCTCCAGATCCTGGAAGGTTTTGGGGGACAAGGGTGAGGAACAGGAGCGGATGAAGCGGATATTGGGGATGGGGTTGGGTAACGGGGTTTTAAGCAGAATCTGGTGGATAGTAGGCACAGCTGTGTACCAGTTTGCGTTATAGGTTACGAAATCCGACCAGAATTCATGGGCCGAGAACTTCGGAGGTACAATGACGGATCCTCCAGAGTATAGAGGCGCCAGGAATGCTGCCAGGAGACCGTGGACATGGAAAAGAGGCATCACCAGATATGTACGGTCCTGTGGCGTTAGGGCGTACGTGTCCCGGATGTTCCCTACGGCATGGTTAATATACTGCTCGTTGTAAGCTATCTGGGCACATACTCATGGTTGTGGTGAGATTCTTGTGAGTGAGTGGAACCTTTTTCCATGTCAGTATCTATAGTTTTGCCAGAACGGGACGATGACCTACAGCCTTGGGCCTGCCGGTCGTGCCACTTGTATGAAGCACAAGAGCAACATCGTCCGGCTGGGCCTGTCCGACAGTCACACCCGCGCTACCCGCCAATTTTCCGTGTTCCTTCACATCCAAAACCACCTCTGTGCCATTCCAGTAGCACTCCGCAATCGCAGCATTGTATTTCCTTCCAGCTCGCACAGCGGGGCCATTCTGGGCATACGATCCCTTAGGGATCAGCACTAACGTCGAACTAAGGTCATCGATATAGAACTCGAACTCCTCCTGCTTATAAGCGGGATTCAGTGGAGCGGCGATCGCCCGCTGCCAGGACGCGCCTAGAAACCCGACGATGAATTCGTACGAATTCACCAGCGCCAAGGACACCGCACCTCCGTGGCCAACGCCCAGCTTGGCCAACTTAGCTTGAAACTCGGCCACATGAGCGTGCAGCTGTTGATAGGTGATGTTGAGAGTAGGGGACAGGGGGGTCTGTCTCTTGGGGACCACAACAGCAATGTCGGTGCTCCGAGAGGAGAAGGACTGCGCTAAGGTGGTCATGGTGGATCGGACAAGACACTGATGATGTCTTGGCTTCAGGGATTGATATTAAGGACGTAGATCTCCGATTCGTGGATTAAAGGAAGTTGTACGATATTATCAGTTGGTTGTCACTTTTGTCACCATCCCAGGGAGTACAAGAGGAGTAGACATAGCTCAGCTCCTCTCGGCCGGTAATGGGTAGGCCAGCGGGTGTGACCGATCGCCTCCACGATTCCTGGCACGATCCGCCCTCGGGGATTATCGTCATTGTTAGGGGGGTTCTCCACTCCCCACATGACTAATTAGAAGGTGCCGTTTTCTTCCGGGTTGAGTAATTTATGTACATCCAGCAATACTAGGTAGCTGCTGGCAGCTTTCCATTCTGTTATCTTCTCAAGGTTGCTCAATCGCTTCAATCGCCATCTCTGATGCTAGTTTCTGTCTGTGAGTGCGGTCTGTTGCGTTTTAGCTATTAACAGCCCCTTACTTTGACCGATACCCGTTCAACCGTTTGAAGAGAGCTATGTCGGATACGACCGCCTGGAGTGCTAACGAGCAATCTGACTCCAATATTGAACCCCGCATACAAGTTGCAGCTTCTCGGATGTAGCCTCCAGTGTGTAAGCAGAAGTAGCCTGGGGAGAACTGCCGGACTCGAAACTCCGCAAATGGTCTTCGAGAGCAGTAGTATACGCGCAACTGCGAGGTGCAATGAGGCGACTGCAAGAGATTTCATTGCGCCTTGAATGTCTATAAACCCTGGATATAGCAAAGTATATGCGCTTATGCTAGTGGTTTAGCGGCCTTCAGCTCAGTGACCTCCTGAAGTCAGGTCAACACAAGAGGCATACGTTCAATGCCAAATAAGACATGCAAAATCTTGACTCGACGCTATGATAATTCAATCCGTAGCAATCTTTCAGTTGAGTGATCTGATCAAGTATAGTACCTGCTGGCCCTGGCTATAGTTCCTTCACCATGATAGGAGGAAGAAGAGCATCCAATAAGGATACGAATCGCTAGATGACTAAGCCATATGATCCACATGTCAAGTGATATGAGATGCAAACAAGTGCTCAAGCTGTACTCCGCACGATAGTACTTGTCTCCAACTTCTCCGACACAATAATTGTCACTCTCTTTATTCGGTTGACTTGTCTATAAAATCAACCGGACATATGGCTTCCGAGAACACCCCCTCTAAGCCCGGGGGCATGCTCTCGCTCTATGCAAATCTGCTCGATCCATCCGCCGATAACTCTCCCGGGACGATTTCTCGCGCCCCGGTCGTCTTCAAGCAAGCCTCCGAAGGCGAGTCGCAGCCAGATGAATCAGCTGCCAAGAAACAACAGCTCAATGCCGGTAGACCATAACCCTCCTCATGACCGACAGTTTCATGTATTCTTGTTTGTGATCTGATTGCTCACTTGTCCTTTGTTCTTCTGGTTTTGGCGATCAGCTTCTCTCCGATTTCAGCCTACGAAGAGACCCCAACTATCTGCGCAGAAACCAAAACCGAAGCCAGCTTTACCGAAGGCAGCCCCTGCTCCCGTACCGGCAGCGGCTCCTAAGACTACCCTTGCAGATTGGGCTAATACCGAAGAGGATGATGTCAATGACTTCTATGCTGGACCAAAAAGGCAGCGGGGTGGGCGCAAGAAGCGCAAGAAGAACAAGGATACGCGGGAATTTGCTCAGGACTGGGACGACATCTACGACCCGTCGCGGCCTAATAGTTACGAAGAATATAAGCACAGCGATGAGCAGATAGCCGAAGTTCGCGAGTGGAAGGATCGCCTCTACGCACATCGCATAGTGCGATCTCCGAGCCGAGATTCGTATAGTGATGAGGACTATGGAAGGCCAATGAACCGTATGTGTTGTCTTATAGTGATAGTGATTCTACGGCTGAACTGTTACAGGACAATTCGCCCCTCCGAGCAGCTTCGCACCACCTCCAAACCTCAACGATATGCCCCCAGCTCCCCCTCCCCCTGCTGATATACCGGATGCTGCTTCCGGAGAGGAGGCATTTGCCAAGCGTGCACAACTGCATACAAACCTAGCCGATACGGCTATGACCGACTATACACCACCACCTCCCCCAGAGGCATCTGTTACAGATGACCCTACGGGTGAAGATGCTTATCTACATCGCATTCAGATGTCGGCTGGAGCCCAGCCTATAGCAGAATCTGCGCCGCCACCACAACCACGGCCGCTAGAAGCGCTGCAACCTGCCTCTGCGACTATTTCTCGTGCACCCGTCCGCTATACTTTACCTCCCCCACCGGCAGATATACCTGCATCAGAAGCAGAGCTTGAGGAAGTTTTCGCTAAGGAGCAACCGGTGGAAGGTGAGGGTGAAGGTGAAGAGGAGGGTCAGCGCTCACTCCGGCCCGGACAGAAGGGATTTGCTCAGCGTCTGCTTGAAAAGTATGGTTGGACAAAAGGCTCTGGCTTGGGCGCAACGGGGTCGGGTATTGTCAACCCACTGCAGGTCAAGGTCGAGAAACAGAAGAAACGGCCAGACTCAGAGGGTGGTGGCTTCGCCACTCCCGCTGGCAGGGGTAAAATCATTGGTGGTGCGAGGAAGAAAGAAGACGAGGGGAAGTTTGGTCAAATGAGCGAAGTCGTTGTCTTGAAGGGCATGTTAGACGGCATGGACGTGGAAGCAGAACTAGAAGGCGACCAGGATGGGGGCTTGATGCAAGAGATCGGGGATGAGTGTTCTGAGAAGGTGGGTTCCTACTCCTCTGGTGCTGCTATGCAATTCTAACCTGAACAGTATGGAAATGTCGAACGTGTCTTCATTGCCCGCAGTGCGGCCCCTCCAGTCCCGGTATTTGTCAAATTCACCAATCAGCTATCTGCTCTAAGAGTAAGGGTCTTTAACCGAGTGATTTGGTTGTTTGTTTACTAATGCATTTCTTCCATTCAGGCTGTCAACGCCTTGGAGGGCCGAATATTCAACGGGAATCCAATCACAGCTCGGTTCTTTGACACACAGAAATTTGAGGAAGGAATATATGAATAAGAACTACAAAGGAATAGAGTTAATGAATGATACCGATAAGCTTCTGTCAGTTTTACACCAGGCACCAAATTTCTTTAGTTCAATTTGTCAGTAACACCTGGCACATCAAAACCATGTGTCAAGAGCCGACCAAACAAGTCTCATGTGTCTCTTGAGGTTTTGCAGCTTTTATCCATGAAAGTGAAGGCTCTCTTCAGCCGTGTTGTTACTGGTCTTAGTGATAGGAACTAGCCTTCTCATCACATAGGCGTTCCTCCTACCTTTGCGTCCCTCGTCTTGCGACGCGTTTGATAAGAGCACCAGTCCAAATCATCGGCAACCTTGATATAAGGCCTTTCTCGAGGCATAACAATAGTAGCAGGTATTTATATGGAGACATAAGGTTGGTATCAAGCAATTTATGATGCACCATGGCCGCCTTGTTCTGAGTCAAATTATTGGAGAGAATGGTTGGCAATAAGGAAAAGCGAGGTTGTCGTGTAACCTCGAGCTCTTTATAAATCAATACTAGTAGATATGGCAGTGGGCATCTCCTATTGCTAATTCTTACTACTGCTAGTTAGTATTTCGATATGGGGTACGCCTGTTATGCATGTAATACGTGGTAGTCAGGTGACCCAGATCAATCTCCGTAGGGCCGGCCAGCGATTGGCTGTGGGGCATCAAGCCGATGGGTTTCTAAGAGGTACTTTGGAACATTCACGGACTTCCACAGATTCAGTGACAGCGCCTCTCATTCCCACCTTTGTGTTCCCTCCCTGTTCATCTATTTTCTTTTTTCTCACTTTCTTATTTCTTTATTGCCCCCTCACCCCCCGCTGATATCATTCTACAGCTCATCCAGCTTGCCCACTCTTCACTTGGCTCTTATTTATTCTCTGGTAGATTCAACTATTCACTACCTTTTGCGCCACTTCAACGATCAAGATGTCTCTTTGTCTGAATCGCCTGACGGAAGAAAGGTATGTGATAGAATCGTTTGGCGCTCGGCTACGGCCTTGCCTCAGGTCGGCTCTTCCCGGATACTGATTGCGATCTTGTATCTGTACAGAAAGCAGTGGCGACGTGACCATCCTTTCGGATTCTACGCGAAGCCTTATCGAACCCCTCAGGGTGTGTTGGATTTGAAGCGCTGGGAGTGTGGCATCCCGGGAAAGGCGCAGACTCTCTGGGACGGCGGACTTTTCAAGCTCGATGTTACTTTTCCAGACGGTACGTTGTTATCTACTTCTCGGATGTCGCGAAGGTAGAAATGAGATTGACTAACCTATTTCTGTACAGAATACCCGACTAAGCCTCCAAAGTGTACGTATTATCACCTTTCGTTGAAGACAAACCGGGGCGGAAAGCAACGGTGACCTTGCTGGATTTCATGGCGGATAGCTAATGTTCACTACAACAGGCAAATTCGTCCCTCCTCTATTTCACCCGAATGTTTACCCCTCAGGCACCGTCTGCCTTTCAATCTTGAACGAGGAAGAAGCCTGGAAACCTGCCATCACCATTAAACAAATTCTGCTTGGCATCCAGGACCTGCTCGATGACCCCAATCCGGAGTCGCCTGCACAGGCGGAGGCATACAATCTGTTCAAGAAGGATCGGCCGGCATATGAGAAACGGGTGAGACAAGTTGTGAAGGATAACCCAACGCTTTAAGCCCTCCTTCTACGGCGGACTGGATTACGCTTTCGGGGGTTTAGTTCTTTCTTTCCCCATGTCGTCTTTCCTCACCAAATTTCTTACACGGCCATGGCGCATTATGAACGGAGGCGAACGTTGATGGCTGGTAGATAGCCACGTGGGAGTGATTTTACGTTAGCAGATATCTCACTCCATGCAGCATGTTTCTCGTTTCTTGTGCAGGGATGGGGGAGAATGAAAAGCTAGAAGGACGGGCTGTGCATTTTTCTGGCTGTGACGACTGATGGCGTATGCGCGCATCACTTTCTTTACATTTATGATCACGATCTTTTGTTTTTCTTACTCCCTCTAGCGAGCATGGCGTCTTAGCATTCACAAAATGGGTGGTTATGGACGGCGTTTTAGAACCGCTTTGTTGTTCCTTTCTTCTCTGACCCGGCCCGTTTCTTCGGGTCTTCTCTGGCAACCGTACAATCACTGTGCTCTCGCAGCTCATATGGTCATTTCTACCTAAAACGGGTGATCTGACACTTCCGTACTTAGTATGTGGGGTAGAATGATCCGCTTGGCCGATAGGGAGGAATTGGGTAAGGGGTCGAGTTGGTCTGCTCCAGACGTGCTCCAGTGAATCCCCAATACCTCCCATGGTACGAGTAGGTAGTATCTGGTCAGTTCTGTAACGTACGAGGAACCTGAAGAGAAAGGAGTAGTCATGGAATAATCAGGCTGTCATTGGAGGGCACCCGATCCAGACCCAGAGCGGTTATCTTATCAGTGAGTCACGTCCGTCAAAAAAGATTGAATAAATTGTGGCCGAAATCGCCCCTCGATTCCGCCCCGCCGGAAATCGCATTTTAAAAAGTCACTCTTCCCCATACCCTATACTTTTCCCGGAAAGCACGCGTGGCAATTCCTTTTCTTTCTCTTCTCCTTGTCACCTTGCTGCTTGTCGTTTTCTCTAGTGAGCCAATTGCTCGTCGTCATCATGTGTGGCATTTTCGCGTGTTATAAGTATGTCCCTATCGCTTCTGTTTGATCCCTGCACTCCCTCCCCGCGAAACCCTAGCAGCGGGTATGGGGCCCTTTCCGGATCAAGTCGCTAACAGTTGTTACCCTCGGCAGCCACCCCGATGTGCAAAAATTTAAGCCTACGGCTTTGCGCATGGCCAAGGCGTAAGTATTCCTCCTCTTTTGTCGGACAGCAGAATTGAGACTGATTTCGTTGCCAGCGTGCGCCACCGTGGACCCGATTGGAGTGAGTCACATTTATGTGGAAGGGTTTAGTGAAGACTATACTGAGGAAATAACAGGCGGAAACTTCATTGCTGATAAGACCAGTCAGTCAATTCCATTTCTACAAGGAACGTCCACCCATGAACTAGGAGCTAACGCATCGCAGTCCTTGCACACGAGCGTCTGTGTATCGTCGGTGTCGGTATGTGCCCTGCCAAGCTTCGCAAGCGAGGCGTCCTGCTAAGACCTTTCAGACTCTGGTGCTCAGCCCCTTGTGAACGATGACGGTTCCCTCGCTCTGGCCGTCAACGGAGAAATCTATAACCACCGCATCATCAGAAAGAACCTTAAGAACCAATATGACTTCAAGACACATTCGGATTGCGAAGTTGTTATCCCATTGGTATGTGCGAAAGGACCATTGTAGCCGCAAACACAGTGATATTATGGAGGCTGACGAGTTCAGTACATGGAACATGGCCTTGATGCCCCTAAGCACCTTGACGGCATGTTCTCTTGGGTGCTTTACGACAGAAAGCAAGACCGGGTTGTTGCGGCACGCGATCCCATTGGTGTCACTAGCTTCTACATCGGCTGGTCTTCGGAGACCCCAGGAGCTATCTACTTCGCTTCGGAGCTGAAGTCCCTGCACCCAGTTTGCGACAAGATCGAGGCTTTCCCTCCTGGCCACATTTTCGACTCGAAGACCGGCTCTATGACTCGTTATTTCCAGCCTAAGTGGTGGGATCCCACTAACGTCCCCACGACTCCTGTTGACCTTAAGGTCCTCCGTCACACCTTGGAGAAGTCTGTTCGGAAGCGTCTGATGGCTGAGGTTCCTTACGGTGTTCTGCTGTCCGGTGGTCTGGATTCCAGCTTGGTCGCCTCCATTGCCCAGCGTGAGACTCTGCGCATGCAGGAGGCTGCCAAGGTAGCCGTCCAGAACCAGACTGGCTCATCCGATCTGGTTGGCATTGACGACAGCAACGAGCTCTCTACCGTCACCACATTCCAACAGTTGCACTCCTTCTCCATCGGTCTGCCCGGTGCTCCCGATACTGAGGCTGCCCTTGAGGTGGCCAGGTACCTTGGAACCAAGCACCACGCTTTCACCTTCACCGTTGAGGATGGTATCAACGCTCTTTCCGATGTCATCTACCACTTGGAGACTTATGATGTGACTACCATCCGTGCATCTACTCCCATGTATCTCCTCAGCCGCAAGATCAAGGCCATGGGTGTGAAGATGGTTCTGAGTGGTGAGGGAAGTGACGAGATCTTCGGTGGTTACCTCTACTTCCACGCTGCCCCCAACAAGGAGGAATTCCACAAGGAGACTGTGAGACGAGTCAAGGCCCTGCACCTGGCAGACTGCCTCAGAGCGAACAAGTCGACTTCTGCTTGGGGTCTGGAAGCCCGTGTGCCTTTCTTGGACAAGAACTTCCTCGAGACTGCTATGGGTGTTGATCCTCAGGATAAGATGATCACCAAGGAGCGCATTGAGAAGTACATCCTGCGTAAAGCATTCGACACCACCGATGAGCCCGATGTCGAGCCATACCTTCCCGAGAAGATCCTCTGGCGCCAGAAGGAGCAGTTCAGCGACGGCGTTGGCTACAGCTGGATCGACGGCCTGAAGGACCATGCTGAGACTCATGTCACTGATGAAATGATGAAGAACCCTAAGCCCGAGTGGGGCAACGATATCCCTGATACCAAGGAAGCGTATGTCCTACACCTTACAAAGTCATGAGTGAGCAATAGGAACTGACCATAGCAGTTACTGGTACCGTATGATGTTCGATGAGCACTTCCCACCTTCCTGTGCATCTACTGTTGAGCGCTGGGTACCCACATGGTCGAAACAGACCGACCCTAGTGGAAGGTATGTTTGCAATGAGTCACCTCTCTCTCTTGGATTGTTCGTTACCTCAGAAGGCAAATGCTAATGTTTGACACCAGAGCTATCGCGACTCACAACGCCAAGTACGACCATGTTGAGTAAATGTTTAGATAATTATGCTTGCGATTTGTGTCGGGTGTTTGGGATAGACTCATGCAATAGAGACGTGTCTCAAAAAGTGTTTTTTCCGCCCTTAACAGGGCGGAGGGTTATGAAATCCCTTTCAAAACTGCTCTTGTATAATCATGCCTTCTTTTAGGTTAGAGCCCTCGAAATAGACCAGGTTGTAGCTCTGTTATAATTTATAGATAAAACAGTTGGGAGGCTTCCCGGCAGTTGACAAGCGGTGGTTCAGGGGGAAGGTTAAGAAGTAAACCTTGATACTACGACTAGTAGTACATAGTATGAGCTTATGCAGGTTAACCCATTGGATGAAACTTTACGCGTCCACTTGCAGATGACGGCATAGCCGCCCCAGGCATCAATGTCACGAGACTTAGCGGATTTTACCGGCAACCGAGTAGCAGCCAATCAGAGTGAGCGGCTTTTCCCGTGGTTTCCTTGTTGTTTGGGACTCAACCTTCAACGTCGCTTTTCCCCATCGCTTTCCTCCCTTCTTCTCCCCTCACCGTTTCCGTCCCCCTTCAACCGTTATATTACCTTTACGATACCCACGTTATCGTTAACCACTCCTCTCACATTCACAATGTCTGCTCCTGCTTCTTTCTCTGACATCGCCAAGGCGGCCAACGATGTATGCTCTTGTGGTTTCCTTTGATTTGCAAAAATCAACGACAAAATAAGCTTGACGGGAAGGATTTTCGTGCTAATATTCTGCGCAATAGCTCCTTAACAAGGATTTCTACCACACCAGCGCTGGTATGTGTGTCTTGCTGTTATATCTACAATTGGTGGTTACAATACTTTTCGCGCGCAACCTAGCTAACTTGATTTTTTAGCCAGCCTTGAGGTCAAGTCTAAGGCTCCCAATGGCGTCACCTTCAACGTGAAGGGCAAGAACGCCCACGAGGGTCCCATCGCTGGCTCCGTAAGTCTCACAGCTTGCATACTGCGAATGATGTCAAGTTATTGGACATGATGCTAACCGATCAATCTTATAGCTCGAGGCCAAGTATGTCGACAAGCCTACTGGTAAAGGCCCCAAAAGACGCAAACGTCCCATCCGCAAACCACCCAATTCCAATTGCCCAATATTGCGAGACGCTCGGTCCATGTTTTCATTTTCATGCGGCCAAGCCTTGTCTCAGCATCTCAAAATCTTTCTTTCATCCAGGATTAGCCATCATGCAGTCTTGCTAATATTCTGTCCCCGCCCAGGCCTCACCCTCACCCAGGCATGGACCACTGCCAACGCCCTCGACACCAAGCTCGAGCTCGACAACAACATTGCCAACGGTCTCAAGGCCGAGATCCTCACCCAGTACCAGCCTTCCAAGCAGTCCAAGGGTGCTAAGGTCAACCTTCACTTCAAGCAGCCCAACCTGCACGCCCGTGCCTTCTTCGACCTCCTGAACGGCCCCTCCGCCAACTTCGACGCTGTTCTTGGCCACGAGGGCTTCCTCGTTGGTGCTGAGGGTGGCTACGACGTCCAGAAGGCTGCCATCACCAAGTACTCCGCTGCCATTGGCTACAGCGTTCCCCAGTACACCGCTGCCATCACCGCTAGCAACAACCTGTCCGTCTTCGCTGCCAGCTACTACCACCGCGTCAACGCTCAGGTTGAGGCTGGTGCTAAGGCTACCTGGGACTCCAAGACCGGCAACTCCGTCGGCCTTGAGGTTGCCAGCAAGTACAGACTCGACCCCTCTTCCTTCGCTAAGGTATGCGAACCTTTTGTGTCTATGTGAGGTAAAACAACACTAATTGATGACAAAATAGGCCAAGATCAACGACCGTGGTGTCGCCGCTCTGGCTTACAACGTTCTGCTCCGCCCTGGTGTCACCCTTGGCCTTGGTGCTTCCTTCGATACCCAGAACCTGAACCAGGCTGCCCACAAGGTCGGTGCCAGCTTCACCTTCGAGGCTTAAATGAGTCTCTCTGTGTACTATCTCTCCACGCCTATAATACCGTGTTCCGCTAGCCTGAGGATAGCAATTTGTGAATAATATTAGACTTTTCTATCTATGGTTGCTTTCTAGATGCCATATAGCTGTACTCGGAATGGGTGCATATATATCAGGCTCTGCTGGAAACGGGCGAGTGCTATCAAATGCCAACCTTACTAATCGTGTACCGTATCTATCCATGATCAATGTATATCAGTTAGGACCCAGCCTCCCTTGATTGTAGAGCCAACGTCAGGTTGTTTGAAGAGCTCGTTCTGACATGTCCACTATGATGGATATGGTGACCATTAGTCGAACCAAAGTTGATAGGCATGGGCTGCATTATGCCCGATCCACGTAGATGAGCGTACTTATAAATCCATACAAGGGAATTGTAGCTGTGGGGGGAGCCACGACCGTGCACGATTCAATCTGGGTTATATGGTCTATTAAAGGAATCACATCCCTAGCTTTTAACAGCACTGTACATAGGGAATTAGGAAGACAACACCTTCTATATACCAAACCATAGGATACCCGCGACTCACTCTTCTTTCCGCCGAGCCGGTTTACTACCGCTAGCCTTGGTGCCCCGTTCCCCAGGCCAACCGATAAAACCCGTCATAGACCCAGCGCCCACCAGAATGCCGCAAACGATAATAAACCGCACAGCAAAATCTCCGCGACTTCCAATATACCGATCATTCATCTCCGCACCCATCTCCTTCGACCGCCTCTCCTTCCGCCTCGCATCCTCAGCTGACTGTGTCTTATAATGCCCCGGCGCATCAAAATGATTCACAGGGTTTCGATAAATAAATGCCGTAGGATCATGCTCGCTCCAGCCGCCCGCAGCCGAAGACGACGACGCTCCCCGGGGAGCCTTCCTATTCCCGTACCCCCCATGCGCATAGAACTGGGGGGCGGCCCACGGAACTGTCCCCGGCGTTTACTCAGTCCGCTAGCTGGCCGTGATCCAGCGTATGATGCCCCCTTTGTGTGCAGGTTTGCGCTGTAGCTACTGTGGCTGCCCATGGGGTGTTGGCCAGGGTTTGCGGTGCTGTGTGTTGAATGGTGGGCTATGATCCCATGTTCACGGTCGTAGGCGGCGCGTTTGGTGTGGTTGCTGAGTATTTCGTAGGCGGAGGAGATTCGGGCGAAGCGTGAGGAGGCCTTTGGGTCGTTGCGGTTGCGGTCTGGATGGTGGCGGAGGGAGAGGGCATAGAAATTTCTGGGTTGGAAGTTTTCATTGTTAGCCCCTTTCTTGCATATTAGCGAGATTGTGAATTGAGGATGGCATGTAGTGAATGCGATATTCTCGTAGTATGTATATGTGTGAATGTAATTGTATGTCTGAGGCCAGGAGACCGGGTGGTGTGGAGGGGTATACGCACTTTTTGATCTCCGCTGCTGACGCCGTTATGGGTACTTCGAGGACTTCATAGTGGTTGGGTTCACGGCTTGTTGCGCGTCTAGTTTGCGACGTCGAGAACGAAGCTGTACCGGCGTACGATGTGGGGTGAATATGGTTCCAATGTTGTGTGTGTGGATGCGTAGCCCGGAGTCGAATACCGGGGGTCCTCACGCGAGGAAATAGCATGTCTTTGGACGTGTCTGTGTTGTCATTCGATCCTGATACCGGAGGATAGGGATAGTTTGCAGTTGGAGGAGAGACCACGGGCTATTGGGAGGTGAAATAGTAGGTAGTTGGGTGAATTGGATATAGATTGGGAGCGGAAGTACTAATGGGAGGGAGGAAATTCCGCCGCTCATCGGAGGTGCTGCGTCATCGGTTGATCGGTGTTATCTGATAATCTACCCTTGGCCGATCAAAATAGGAATGGAGTAAAATATGTACGTCCGTTTAATGTATAAACGCTATTTTAGCGTATGATTGCTATTGATATGATTATTATCTTTTATTTTACCTGTTTGAAGTGTTAGACTTGTCTACATACTGTTGTTGGTTTTATAATACCGTGTGTCTCGTCCATGTATTTTGGGACTATGGCTGGAAACCGCAGGGTTTTCTCAGCACTACCGTAACTGGCACCTTCAAAAAGTCTTAGACCGAAAAATAATACATACAAATGTACACCATACACATATTCAAATATGTATATCATAGCGTTGGTATAAAAACTAGCTGTGCACGCGACAAGTTGCTATTGAGTCTCGAACCAACCCAATACAAAGTTACACCACAAGGGAAGCTTCTTGTCCAAAGTACCCTCTGCTATATTCAAATTACAGGAGAACCAAGTAGTACCTAAGGCAAGAGCGATTCTCCTGTATACGGTGGCGAAGGCGTATCCAACTATACCTGGTGCAATAATAGTAGAAGGCAGTATGTCTTGGCGTTGGAACCCTGCGATACTAAATACCGAATGCAGCCGCTCCCCTCTTTTTTTTCCGCCGTCAGATTTCTCTGCCCACCCAACGCAGGTTTTTGCATCCCGCCAACGGATTTTCATCCTTTAAATCCTTTTCATAATGGCTGCTCAGGCTAGCGAGGATCTGCAGAAGCTTGACCGTAGGTGCTTCCCCGGTTCGTGCATTGTTGATCGCACTTAAACTGATAAGATATGTCCTGTCCCAGTGAACGGCCAGGGCGGCGCCGCTAAAGCGGACGCCCCGACCGCGGGTCAAGCAGAAGCCGGAGAGGCGGAGGACGATTCGGATGACGACGCTGATGAAGGAAATGCTGCCGCCGAAGGCGGAGCCAACGGAGGTGCGCCAAACCAACCAAGATACCCCCGGCCAAGGAATACGGAACCCCGCTGACCACAACCGGTGATGTATAGCCGCCAAGAAAAAGAAGAAGCGCAAGTCTAAGAAGAAGAAGAAGGGCGGTGCCAAGGTTCAGAGCGAGCCCCCGCGGGTCCCTCTGTCTCAGCTCTTCGCCGGCAAGCAGTACCCCGAGGGCGAGATCGTCGAGTACAAGGATGATAATTCGTTCCGCACGACCAACGAAGAAAAGCGTTATCTCGACCGCATGAACAATGATTTCCTGCAGGAGTACCGTCAGGCTGCCGAGGTGCACCGTCAGGTCCGTCAGTATGCACAGAAAACCATCAAGCCGGGCCAGACCTTGACGGAGATTGCTGAGGGCATCGAGGATTCGGTGCGTGCTTTGACTGGCCACCAGGGTCTTGAGGAGGGTGACAACCTCAAGGGTGGTATGGGTTTCCCCTGCGGTCTGAGCATCAACCATTGCGCCGCTCACTACACACCGAATGCCGGCAACAAGATGGTGTTGCAGCAGGGAGATGTGATGAAGGTCGACTTCGGCGCGCATATTAACGGCCGCATTGTCGACAGTGCTTTTACTGTGGCATTCGATCCAGTTTATGACCCCCTACTTGAGGCCGTTAAGGATGCTACCAATACTGGAATTCGCGTATGCCTTCTCTGCCTCCAACTTCCTAGTTTTATACGACTTTTGCTGACTACTGAATATAGGAAGCGGGTATTGACGTCCGCATGAGCGATATTGGTGCCGCCATCCAGGAGGCCATGGAAAGTTATGAAGTTGAACTCAACGGGACCATGTATCCCGTGAAGTGTATTAGGAACCTCAACGGTCACAACATTGACCAGCACGTCATTCATGGAGGCAAGAGTGTTCCAATCGTGAAGGGTGGTGATCAGACCAAGATGGAGGAAGGTGAAGTTTTCGCCATTGAGACCTTCGGTAGTACCGGAAAGGGCTACGTGAGAGAAGACGTACGTGTGCTACTGGTTCAAGATTGTGAGTCTAGATGGAACTAACTTACTGATAGATGGAAACCTCCCACTATGCCTTGGATCCTAATGCCTCTCCGGTGCCTTTGCGTCTCTCCTCGGCCAAGAATCTGTTGAATGTGATCAACAAGAACTTCGGCACTTTGCCTTTCTGCCGTCGTTATCTTGACCGACTTGGACAGGACAAATATCTACTTGGAGTAAGTCGATAAGCTAACTAGCCTTCGGCAACCCCCGCTAACATATTCGTAGTTGAACAACCTGGTTTCGTCCGGCATTGTCCAGGACTACCCACCACTTTGCGATATCAAGGGTTCTTACACTGCCCAATATGAACATGTAAGACCGCCCCACGCTACTGTACCTGAACTTAGAATTCAGACTAACTGAGCATGCAGACTATTGTCCTTCGGCCTAACGTTAAGGAAGTGATCAGTCGTGGAGACGATTACTAAACCAGGGCGGTTGATTGGATGTTGCATATGTTACTTTGCTTATCGTATTATTATGAGATCAAGAAAACCCCAATGATAGCAATAGAAATGGTCATGAACATACTCTTCCAGTATACTTGGATCAACCCATGGATCCTGGATATCAAACCATAATTCTCGAATAGGCAAGGCGGTAGATCGGGCCAGTCACAACCATCCGTGGCGCCGGCTGGGCCCCACGTGGAAACAATCCACTCCGACTCACGTTGTCGTTGCAATTAATCAGAAGACTCGGATCGTCGCTTGCCATTGTCTCCTCTTCTTTCTCTCCTTCTCTACCCGCTCTCGACCCATGGCGTAAACCCATCACCTTTCCCTAACCCATCCCGCCCTCCTAACCATGGCCTCCGCCATCGCGACTACCGATACTCCGCATCTCCGCGTGTCCGCCGCGAAGAACAAGGGTCTCGATATAAAGAATGACCAGCAGTCGGTCAGAATTCCACCGCCAGAGTCTATAGTCGAGGACCAATTTTTTGGACATATACGGAAGAGCCTCACCGTTCAAGACGGCAAGCGATCATCAAGGCCCATCCAGAGGTGCGTTCAACGCCTTTCACCGCTTCACCGGAGGCACCGCTAATCTCATGGGTCCGTTATATCAGGTAACCAAGCTCTGCGGTCCCGAGCCTCTCACCAAATATGTGGTGTTCGGCGTTGTATCTCTCCAGATATGCTGTGCATATCTACTCCGGGACACCTCGATGCTGTCCTGGCGGTTCCTCGCTACCGCATACTTGATCGGAGCAACTGCCAACCAGAACCTCTTCCTCGCCATCCATGAAATTTCTCATAACCTTGCCTTCCGGTCCCCGATGGGCAATCGCCTATTGGCAATCTTTGCCAATCTCCCTATTGGGTTACCCTACAGCGCCGCGTTCCGGGTATGTCCTGCAGGATATAAACGCCTAGACGCTATCAGTCACTGACAATGTAATAACTAGCCCTACCACCTAACGCATCATAAATCCCTCGGCGTCACAGGCCTCGATACTGATCTTCCAACTGCCGTTGAGGCCTTCCTCCTCGACTCCCTCCTCGGCAAGGCCTTCTTCTGTACTTTCCAGATCCTCTTCTACGCCGTCCGGCCTATGTTCATCTACAGCCCGCCCTTCACCTACATCCACGCTCTGAACCTCGCCGTCCAACTCTCCTTCGACTATGCCCTCACCAAATTCTGCGGCGGCTCGCTACAGCCCTTCTTCTACCTCATTCTCAGCTCGTTCCTCGCCGGCTCGCTCCATCCATGCGCAGGCCACTTCATCGCAGAGCATTACTTCTTCTCCCAAGTCGACCACGGAACAGAGTCCATCACAGAGCAGAAGACGAAACCCACCGAAAAGAAACAGCCCCATCCCTTGGATAGCCTCCCTCCCCCCGAAACATACTCCTACTATGGACCCCTTAACATCCTGACCTACAACGTAGGTCTGCATAATGAACATCACGATTTCCCTGCCATTCCCTGGACAAGATTACATGCGCTCCATCGCATCGCGAGCGAGTTCTACGAGCCGCTGCCTTGTCATCGTTCTTGGGTCTGGGTTATCTGGACGTTTATTCTGGATAAGAATGTCGGGATGTGGTGCCGGGTTAAGAGAGCCCAGGGGGGTCGGGTTGTCGGTGGTGGCGGGAAGTCCGGACGTAGCGGAGAGACTATCTCGGCTGAATCGGCTGGGCCGGAAGAGAATGAAGATGGGTGGAAAGAGAGTGAACTTCAAAGCTGATCTGTATATGTACTATTGCTGTTCTTACTTACTGGATATGGATACTGTTGATGATTATAGAATAGAGATGATATCGTATAAACCATGTGCAATTATTTGGGAATAGGTGTTACTAGGCTTCTGGTGGTGTTGACTTGATTCATCTAATTCCAGATACAGCGGCCGTAGATATACATACGAAGAAATGAAAGGGAGGACACAAGTGCATTAACTGGGGGCGAGTGTATGATGTCTGAACGGACTGGATCAAGATACACAACACTTGATAAGGCTCGAGCTTGAACAAGGCGAGCAGAGGTGGTTAGAAACATATGATACAGGATCGGAGTACTCGTATAACTGGAAGTTGTTTTTTTTAAATAATTGTTTCTATTGCTGTTCTGTGCTTCCATTTTGGCCGTCATGATCGAATATAGGTAATCGAAGAAATGAGTAGAGGAACAGAAGAGAAAAAAGGGGTGGGAAGAAAAGAAGATGAAAGAGAAAAGGAAAGGGTAAAATGTAGAGAAAAAGAAAATAGAAACGAAAAGGGCGACAAGAGGTATGAATAAGGCAACAGCGGTGTAGAGTGCAACTGGGGAAATAACGATATAAAGGGGTGCTGAGGCTAAGAACGATGCCGCGGAAGCAACTCA